AGGGAGTGTTCGCGGGCTTCAAGTCACTTCCCCGCAGCTGAAGCTGGTCAAACGCTGATTTGAATAGAATGTTTGCCGAGCTGCCTGAGTCGACGGGTACTGTGGATGGGCTCCCCTTTCTTCTGGACCACGCCGAGGAGGCTCTCCTCGGTTCGAGGGCACCATTTGCTGGTGATGAAGTGTGCGGTGAAGACCTGCACGAACTGGGCCCATCTCCTTATTGACCCGGGGGCCAGGTTCCTGTACCAGGTGCGAGCCACTCCTCTGAAGGTGGTAGTGAAGGCCACGCACATACAGGACTCACTGGCCCTCGCCAGGTGCATCTGGGACTGGAAGGCATCGACATGGTCGCTGGGGTCAAAGGACCCATCATACTTGTCAAGTGGGGGGAGTTTGAAGTCTCTGGGCATAGGAACTGCAAGGAGTTCTGATGACAGGGGGGAAGGGACTGAGAGGATAGGGGCAACTTTTACCTCGTCCGAGCTCGCTTCTTCTTTACCTCGGAGCTTGGGCAGGACGCGGGTTGTAGTTCGACGACTTCGCCAGCGGCGCCTCTACTGCTTGGAAGGCCCGGTGCTGGCACTGCTTGCCTCGGTGTTCCCGAGCTCAATGGGCCTAGACTGCTGGAGGTAGTCCGCGATTAAGGCGCTGAATCGGTTTTCGGTGTGCAGGAACCCGTCCTGAGAGCGCCGAGGTGATGCTGACTTGACAGATCGGGTTCCTGATTTGCCAGCACGTGGCGAGGCGGGGGCAGTCGCTCTCTCTCTCCTGCCAGGGGATGAGGCCTGGCTCCTAGAAGGGCTCCGAGCCTGGGAGGCCCGAGCTTGGGAAGCCTTCTGGTGGGGGCGCCCGCCTTGAGGGGAGGGCTTGGCTCGCCTAACGGTGGGGGAACTGCTGCTGGTAGTGGTACTGGGAGACATGGTGCAACATCTGTTGCTGGTGGATTTGATGTTGTTGAAGCTGCTGCATCTGGGCTTGGATGGCCCACATGCCATGCACCAGGTCATCAAATTGGTTCTGGCTAGTTGCCGGGGGAACAATGGTTGGTTCAACAAAGGTGGTTCCAACAGAGGGAGGAAGGGGGACGTTCACGGTGGGAAGATTCACGGGCATCACTGTTCGTGGCGCATTCAGGCTGGGGATCTCATCCACCAAAAGGGGGATGGTGAACTGTCTGATGCCCACCACGGGAACATGAAGTTGTTCCCCGGTGGCGTTCATCTCCGTGCTACGTCCGACATTGTTGGAAGAAGCCATGGGTGCTGGGGTTTCTTGGAAAAAATGTGCTATGAAAGTTTTAGAGGGAGGCTTTTAGAAGCGTTTCCCACAGACGGCGCCAAATGATGTAGCGCAATCCGGTCAGTCCTAGATGTCAACGATCTTGCCTCTGATTGGAGCAAAAGGTGTCTCAAATGGGGAAGAAAGCAAGTAGTCTCCAGGGAGGAACCCGGTGAGAGTGCTCCGAAGCTCAAGTTAGTATTTTCTCAAAGGCAAGATAAAAAACCAGATGCGCAAAGTTATCACGTACCTCCATTCTTGGGGGGAAGAGGGCCTTTTATAACCCCTTCGCGCACTCACTCCCAAGCTCCTGTCAGGTTGGGTATCATTACCTCTGCACTTTTGCCAGTTCGGGTATCGTCACCTCTGCTGGGGTTGACAACCGCCACTGCTCTCTTTGTCGGAGCCGTCTCTGTAACTGGAGGTGGCGGTGGCAGGTGGCCATTGAAGTACGGCTGTCAAGCGTCAAATCCTAAGTCAGTTTGGCAGCTTGGAGACGAAGTGCCGGAGTGGTGTGCGAGGTGAAGTCTTGAGTTCGGATAGAAGTGTGGCTCGAACTGCCCTAGGGTGGGCCAGTTCGGGTTGTTGCCCTTTGCGCTCTTCGTAAGGCTCAAGGTCAAAGGGAGAGTTCGGGCTCCTTTTGGGGAGCTTGGGTCCCGGGTTCCTCTTGGGGGAGCTTGGGGCTCCTCTTCTCGGAGCTCGCGCCTTGAGCACTGCCGTGCCGAGCTGTCATTCCTGCCAGGTCACCCTCAGTTGCTTCCATGTGTCGGGTGGCCAAGAGGTCGGGCCAAATCTACCTCCATCACTTATCTTACTAGGATGGGTTTATCCTTTACAAAGACAATTTACAAGTGTAGAGGATAGGGGTTATCTACAAGAAGGAGAAGTATAGGATAGGGGTTGTCTACAAGAAGGAGAAGTACAATGGGAAAGGTATTTACAAGATAAGAGGGAATAAGAGTTTACAGGATGAAGTAGGAGTCTTGGGTGCATGTGCCATGCACCGGATACGTGCATGGCAAGTACGTTGTCGCTTACAAGTACATCAATATAAAATAAGTAAATTTGCATTCAAGTGGGCTTTTGATAAAAAGAAGGCATATGCTTTATTGGCATTTGTTTTTGCATCACTACAGCTAAAAGTTTGTTTGGTAAGAAGATAAATTTGTTAGTACACAACTTTGCAATTTATATGGACCATTTTATATTCTAAATGCTTGCATCGTTTCCAAACGCAGCATGTTGATTAAGAAAGAAACCCCTATCCTTGGTGCTTATTATTGGCTCTCAATTGTTGATTAAGAAAGAAACCCAGAATATAAATAGGAATAGAACCCTAGGGAATGATTCTCGAAAGGTAAAATCTCTGTTCCAGCATGTTTACACAATCTATGAGTCTCTGAGTTCATCCATATATTCCTGTTTGGAATAAAACAACTCACCTCTCATGCACTCTGGTACCTTTTGCTCCACACACCCTTTCTTCTTTGGAGTTGTTGTAGGGTAGATGGGTTGGCACAGAATCCTGAAACTATCGTAGTATCATACTTGTCGGTCCAGTTGTAGAACTTGTATTGCATGATGTTTCCTTCAGAGTCCAACACCCAAAACGACGGAGGAGAAGAATTTTGCTCTAGGGAGTAAGTGAAGTTATCTTTCGTCGTTACTCCAGAAGTTGCTGAAATTTTTTGTCCCATTCTCGGATGTCAACATAGGGACGCTCTTGAAGCTTTGGCCATTCCACACTATTTTTGATCTGGTTGTTCTACAAGCATGCTGATTAGAAATAAAATGGAAAGGAAGCTCAAATACCTACTTGGGGAGTTTTTCTTCAAACACTCACCATTCAGGGGCAGTGTGGTCATGAAAATTGCATTCATGCTAACGTGGACAACTTCTGCCAATGATTATTATGATGTTCTAATGGCTCGATTTAAACAGAGTTTCATGTCGAGCTCGAGCCTAATAAAGCTCGGCTAGATATATATATATATAATAATAATAACTAATTGTTATAATTCTTAATTTTTTAAATACCAAATAAAAAATATTTTTTATATATAAATTTTTGTTTTTATAAAACATATGACTCCCAATCGAGCTTGAGCTGATCCAAGCTCAAGCATCATGCTTTCTAGCGAGCTGAGCTCGAATAACTAGCTATTCAAGCTCGGCTTGGCTCCAATCCATCCCTAGACATGGGGTTTCTTGGACATTTTAAAAAGGTATGGTGAATTTAAGAGAAATGTTGAAAACTGATGGTGAGTTTTAGACAATTTCCAAAAAAAGTAGAAAAAATAAATACTACACCACTGATAAAAAAAACACAACACCCATGATGAATGGATTCAGATAAGGTTCCTTATATGATTTATCAGATACCAACAAAATATAATGCTTAAGTGATGTTTGGTATTCAAACCAAAGATTGACATGTAAATACCAAAACAATTGAGTACATTGTATATTGATTGCTCGATATTCCCTTTGTTTTAATTTTTATTTCAATTAATTATTTTGAAAATAGGTTTGTTAGAATCTATTAAAATCCCCAAATTCGCAATATTTTTGTCGGGCATATCATATCAATACTTTTTTATTCAATGTTTTTGAATTTGGGCCTCATTCCTATCTTGGTAAATGACTTATTTAGATAAATGCACTTATTTGGGTCTTATCTCGATAAGAACACTTATCACTGTTCTTTTATTCCTTAGGTAAAGATGTACAGTGATTGATTTATCTAAAAAAGAGACATTATTAAAGTGACAAATATTATCCCATCATGTATTAGTGATTTTCGATGGGTATAAGTAAATAATTTATCCAAATATGAGGAGAGTATTACTTTCCCTAAATAAATGAGTCACTCATTAATTATTATTTTTCCATAAGATTTATTAATACCATAAAATGAATAAAACATTAGGGTAAAATATAAAAAAACTCCCTTAAAGTTTCTGGCAATCATAAAAACCTCTGCTGTAATATTGGAAAAACCTACAATTACCTCATTTTTTTATTGCCATGGATAGAAAATATTGACATGATGCATTAGTTTCTCAAAAGTATCAATTTTACCCTTTATCTATCAATTTAGGTGAAAATTTATTAAAACGCCCATAAAAACATTTTTCACTTTCAATTAAAAAACTCTCTAAGTTAGATTGAAAAGAATAAAAATAATTTTATTCTATAAAAATGTTAAGTCTATTAAAGTTTAGAAGGACAAACCTGGTATTTAAATTATATTGAAAGATACCTTAATAAATTATAAAGGTAATCTCATAACTTTAAAGGCTAAATTCATTACTGAAACAAAGATGGAACATGGAAGGGAGATATAAAACTTTAGGCCGTGTATTAAGACATTTTCTGATGATCATCGATTCTGATACTATCATCGGGAAATGTTCCCGGCGGGAATGTATTATGGGGTGGAGATGTGAATTCGTATCGTGCATGCATGTCGAAAGTAACGGGCGCCCCACAAAGCTCACCCCACACGCCTGACAACTCATCCCAGCCGTGTAGTGGGAACATCATCTCCCCATAATATTAAGAGATGTTCCTGTGCACGTCGAGATGTGCGTGTGGGGCGCCAAGTTTAAGTTCTTAACTCACAAGCTCGGTCTGTGACTCTGAAAAGTGTGAAGCTAGGGATAATGTTGATTCCACAGAGAAGTAAAATTAATTAATGGAAGAGAAATCTATTATTATTATTATTATTATTATTTAATTTTTGCTTATAATTCCGTTAATCAAGTACAACGAGAGGCTTATATTCTTCGCCAGAGATGGCTAGCTCCATCACCGTTTCTGGGTTCAAAACCCCACCTTTCTCCAGAAACACAGTCATCAAGTTCTTCGAGAACCCACTCACCAGAGCCACCGCTTCCTGCTGCGCTGCCACCGGAGTCGCCAACGAATTCCTTAGGTTCCAGAATACGATCTCCGGCACACATGCATACCCATTCTCCCGAAACTTCCTTCTGATCGCCTCGTAATCTGTTTCCCAAGGGTTCTCTGAAGCTTGGTCGAACTCCATGTCACTGAACACAAAAACTCTTTTGATCATCTGTTCTTCGCTCAGTTTTCCATTAACGGCGACTCTCAATATCAGGTCAAACACCTTCTGGAAATCTGTATTCATCCCCCAATCCATCTTTCTCACGAACTCTGTTTTCGATCTCAGATTGTCTCCTTCGATCTTGTGAAGCTGGGGGTTCTCGCTGAAAGTGATCACCTTCCCCTTCCATGGGTCTTCGCTTAGTTCTGAGATTAGGAGTCCAAGAGCCACGCAGACCTCCATTGGGATCCCGTGCATGCTACCTGAAACGTCGCAGACGGCGAGGCAGTTCTTGAGTTTCCCCTTCTTTGTAAGATCGTCCACCATTCTCCTCCATTGGAGCTCTGCAACTTCACCACCGAAGGGGTCCTCCAAGGAGGCTATAATTTCGTGCGGAAGCAATGCCCCTGCTGCAATCTTCGCTTCTCCCCGCTTTACGCTCTCGAGATGCTTTTGGAACCGTTCTGAGTCGTGTTTCATGAAGAGCTCTTTGTAGTTTTTCATGGCGACAGAAGCCACTCTGTTGTACGGAAGCGTGTCCCATYTGTTCGAACTCATGTAAACCTCCGGGAGTTCAAGAGCTTTACGTAGACGAACAAGGACTTGTTTCCTCAGACGATCGCGGACTCTGTAAGCATAGTGAGCTTCCTCGATTCCCTCGTATTCTGGGTCGCAATCGCACGGGAAGACTCTCCTTGCAATGCTTTCACAGAGAAGGGTTGATCGATCGAACGATGAATCCAAAGACGGACACCACTTCGCGGCAAGACTGATTTTACTGATCTCCCCTGAATTCAAGAACTTGAGGTCTTGAACCAAGAGCTCAGCAAAGACATCAGATATCCGATCGTGTAAAAATCTATAATCAGGATCCCTGCTGTATCTTTCGAGTGCTTTTCTCGCCTTGGAAGCATTCCTCTCTTTTCTCATCTCTCTCGCTTTCTCCTTCGCAATCTTAGCCTTAGCCATCTCTATCTTAACCCTCTCCTCTCTTGGCACCGAGAACTTGTTTTTGCACTTCTGCTTCTGGAATTTCAATCTTCTTCTCGGAAATCTAGCACGTCTTCCACCTTTAATTCTCAATACCCCTCTTCCCATTCTCTCATCCTTTACATTTTTCCGGACGTCGAGACCTTCAAGCAGCCGGAAAAGAATTTCCGGCAAGTCTTTGAAGTACCCAAATTCGGCAAACCACCTCACGTTACAAGCCAAGGTTTTAGGGTGGTTCTTGTAGAGCCACAGAGCCGCAGCATAGAACCCCTCCTTGTCTGATTTCCCGGTGCCTCTAACACCTCTCAGGTTGCAGATTAGCTTGAGTGTGGTTAATGGATTGTGCGCCCAAGCCAGTTCTAGCCGGCGGGTAAGATTGTCCAGTGGGGTATCAGGAACTACATGGAAAAAGAAGTCCAGACAGGGGTTTCCGGTGGACAAGAAGGTCCTAGACAAGTTCTCCGTGTAGCCCACGGGTGGTTTGACGGGTAGATCAGTATAATTGAAGTTAGCGACCAGTAAATCAATAAAGGGGTCACCGGATGTGGCCGGAGTAGGTTTATCGGCAGAGGTAGATAGATAGATTTCCGGTGGACCGAGGAGCTGAGGAAGAGCCATCCTGTTTTGGGACTGACGAACGAGTGAAACGTTGAGTTACACTTATAAGAACCGTCGAACCGATTCCTTGGGCACCACTCTTGCTTTTCGCCTCGCCTTTATTGACCTTGGCCTTGTTATATTTTTTCTCTTGTTTCGTCTTTGTTTCTTGGGGAGAAGGCAAGGAATAAGGAACCATGGAAAAATCGGAATTGGTAGAAGGTTCATCGGCGGCTTGGTCACGGCGAGTCGGTGGGTAAAACCCACTCATCAGTCATCACTCTTCAGGCATCAGAGGTAACTAGTAATTTTTTTAGAAGGGAAATTGCCACTTTAACCTTGAACTTTGTGTCAAGTTGGTACCCAACTTTAAGACGTCAATACAGTATCTAAATTTTCAAAAAAGTGTCAAGTTTGCTATTAATCAACCGTTAGTTATTGTTTTTTACCTTCTGCCGTTAATCTAATCAACCATCAATTATTTGTTAAAAATGTAAAAGCTATTTTTTAAAAGAAGACGCTGTTTATTATTTTTTACCTTGGGACTGAACTAGTTATCTTTAAAGAAAAAAAAAGAAAAAAAAAACATAAAATATGAATGAGAGAAACAATAATTAAAAGCAAAGAAATAATTAAAGAATAATGTATTTTAGATCTAAAGGTAGAAGATAATGACTCTAGAATCTCAAACACCTTCACCGGTTCAGTCTCAAGGTAGAAGACAATGAACAATGTCTTTTTTTGAAGGATAGTTTTGATATTTTCAACAAATAAACTGTTCGTCGGTTACTGTCAGAGACCAACTTGACATTTTTTGAAAGTTTAAGTGCTGCAGTAGATACTAACTTGACACTACCCCAAAATTCATGGTACTAAAATGGAATTTTCCCTTTTTAGAAAGAACAGCCATAGCTAATGTGAGTTTATAACCAAGAACATCTATAGACTATAGGCCTATAGCTTTGATCCAATCTAAAGTGTGAAGGGAAAGGTGATGATCATTGCCTTGGTTTTAAGGAAAAAGTAGGGAAAGGAAGAAAAAAGTAGAGAAATGTTTACAAATCTTGTATATGTTTCCCTACCTTTCCCTTCCTTTCTCTATGATGCTCGGGTAATAGCTTTAAGCAGAAAACATCCAATTTTGAACATCTATTTAAACCATCCACTTGTTCACTAAAACCATACAGTCAAAACCTTGATCCTCATACATGGCATGGACTCCACACAACCTAGGCCCAAGCCCGAAAAGATTAAGACACACACACACTTCTCTTCCTATAACAGTAACAAGAATCAAATTCCAAGTTCCCAACGTTAGAATACAGATAAAATTGTTATTCAGCAGTTGATGGAAAAGGAAGTTCAACTTGTTCATACCTCATACTAGTACTCAAGATATCATGGCCAAATCAACCAAGGGGTGACTCTGATATGTTGGCTGGTCAGCATTGATGCAGAATTCATTCTTGCAACCATTAATTTGGGGAAAAGGAGGAAGGGTTATTAGTGTGACACCAAATACCTAAAAAAACCTTGGCCAAAAAAGCAAAATTAGTGGAAGGAAATGATGTTCATGTCCAAATCTAGTTAAGTACCATTTTGGGTCTAACTATTGCTAGTGCCTAGTCTGGCCAACTGTACGCAAATCAAGATAAATCCTTAGCACTACTAGAATGTACACCAGTTCACATATCTGCTGTTAATGTTAACCAGTCTAATTAAGACTACAAGAGATTTAACACAAGATAAAAGACTGGATAATAATTGTTAAATAACATGAACAAGTGGAATACATTACAACAAAGGAGATTTAAAAAGTAAGGATTAGAAAAGCTTCGAGACACTAATACAGGTGACTATGGTCTAAGCTTCCTCATCAACCACTTCTTCCGGATTGTTGCATCCAGTGCAAGAAACATCTTTGCTTTCTGTTCATCCTCCAGAAGATCGCAAGCATCCAGAAAGAGATCTTCATCAATATCAGGTATAGCTTGAAGTGCATTAACCACCTTTTCTAGCGTAGCAGGGGTCTCATTCTCATTCTCTTTCTTTTTATTTGCTAATGATGTAACTGCAAGTGCCATTTGACGAAGAGCCTCAACCATACATTCATCAATAGTCCTCAGCCGTTTTCTAGAATGTTCAAACGTCGAAGGTGCTGCGAATGGACGCTTGCTCTGTTGATTGGATGTATCCACATCCCCAGCTGAATGTGATGAAGACTCTTGTGTAGCAATGATTGGATCTCCATGGGCAGCAGAGGTTGGAGAATGTGGCCCCTCTACTTCGATCTTCACCTCTGGTGTGTCTTCAAGGACTACATCATGCCCCGAACAGCTATATCTTCCATCAACAATTGGGTTTCCGTATATCACACACAAGTCATTATAGTTTGGCATTGCTTTAGCTCTGTACAATCGTGCTTCTGGATGTACCTGCAAGTATGAAGTACCCTATGTAAGATACTAGCAACTGATTATTTTATTCCCATATGCCCATCAAAGAAACTTGATAAAAATAAAAAGAATCTCAATTATGAACCATGTGAACCTTGAGATAATCATCCCAAATATTATCTGCAGCTGCCACCATTTGGCGTGTTTCATCCCAATAAAACCCATTATTGTCCAGAAGAGTCTTCATTGCGTTGTATTGCATCCTCAATTTCCTGTGCTGGTTCCTCAGAGCCTCCTTGTCCAGTTCTAATCCGAATTTTGAATTGAACAATGCAAGCATATTTGTCCATGCTTCTTTGCAAAATGCATTACCAACTTTGAATCGATTGTTTACCTGTTCCAACATAATATCCATGAAATAACGGTCCATAGGTGGAGTCCAGGTTTTCGAGTGATCAATATTTGGAGGGTCTTGATTATCCATTCCTTCAACAAATTGAGAAGACCTATATCAGTAAAAGAAAACATCAAATTACACACACCAACAAGCATACATTAATCATGTCACTGTATCAGCAAATATCCTTTAATCACATTTGTCCTGGAAAAAATCACTAAAAAATAACAATATAAGTAAAAAAATAACAGAGCAACAGCCTCAGAGTTTTTTCATTTTGGTGTCACCTTAGTACACCTGGATCACCAGGGACAGCAGACACAGACAGAGATTGTGAAGCTCCTGAGACTCCAGTTATCTTAGTTTTAGGAGTGTTGCCGGCAAGGTTTACATCATCAGCTGAGCCATTGTAAGCAGTTTCATTTCGGTATATCACACACATATCTTTATAATTTGGGACAGTTTTGGTCCTATATGATCGCGCTTCAGGGTAAGCCTACATTTATCATGTGTAAGCTACTCACATAAAAAATTTTCCATGGTAGGTTAAGACAAAATGAAGAACATGAAATATACCTTGAGATGATCATCCCAAACATTGTTGTCCGCTGTTACCATTTGTCTTGTTTCATCCCAGTGAAACCCACCATGGCCAAGAAGAATCTTCATAGCATTGTATTGAAGCCTCAATTTTTTGTGGCGGTTCTTCAAGACTTCCTTATCCAAATTTAATCCAAATTTTGCATTGAACGATGCTACCATCTCCTCCCATGCCCTTTTTCGAAATATATTACCATTCTTATGCCCTTTATGAACCTGTTCTATCATAATGTCAATGAAATAACGGTCCATTGTTGGAGTCCAGTTTGTTCGTGAGCGCTCACTACTGGTAGGAACTTGGATGTCCGTTCCTTCTATCTTTTCAGGACACCTATAAAAAGGGAAAAAAGGCAGTTCATAACTAATCAAGAAAACATGCTCAGATGTACGTTTGTGACATTATCCTACGCCTGTAGCAAAATAGGAAAAGAAAAAGGCAGAGACAGCATGTCAGCTTCTGTTGTACCTTACCAAACAAAGATCTTCATGACCTGCAGACAGTGCCAGAGGTTGTGGATCTTCAGACAGTGCAACAATCTCCATTCCTGAGATATTGTCAGCAGCCTTTATATTATGACCAGAACTGTCATTTGTTCCATCAGTTGCTTCTTTTCCATATATCACGCACAAATCATTGTAATTCAACACAGTTTTGGTTCTGTATGATTGTGCCTCAGGGTGTGCCTATGCATATAGTATGTAAGAGTGACATCTGTAAATGGTGAATATAAATGGAAAAAGGTTTGTAAGAAACATACCTTGAGATATTCGTCCCAGACATGATCATCTGCTTTGACCATTTTTCGTGAGTCATCCCAATGAAATCCATTATGGGCAAGAAGAGTCTTCACAGCATTACACTTGAGCCTCAATTTTTTAGATCGATTCCGTAATATCTCCTTGTCCAATTGTAATCCAAATTTTGTATTGAACAAAGAGACCATGTCCTCCCATGCTTTTTTCCGAAATGTATTCCGAATCTTATTCCCTTTATGAACTTCTTCTATCATAATGTCAATAAAATACCGGTCCATTACTGATGTCCACTTGGTTCTAGGACGGTCACCATTTGGTGTGGCTTGGTTTTCCATTCCTTCTATGAGTATAAAAGACCGATTAAAAAAGTAATTACTAAGTGCTGTATATACATATACATAAATAAGCAGAAGAGTCCAATATGTTTCCAACTTTCCAGCACCTTACCATACTTTAACTTAATAACAACCTTCAGAAATAACAGTAACTGCTCAGAGTAAGATAACAATCAGAACAAAATAACTATCAAATAAATGTGTGCATGAAAACATGGAAAATAAGACCCAAAAAATGCTCTATACAAGTATCCTGTCATACACGCTGATGCCATGCCCTTGCTTTCAAGTGTAGCTAATATATCACTGAAGCAAGTTCCCCAAAAGTTACCATCTACAATAAAGTTTAGGCAGTGAGGCAGTCAGCTCACTAATCTGAAACATGCCATTTGCACATAAAAGACCAAAATCCTTCATTACTATAATATTTGATTATTTTATGTAGAGAACACTGATGTGGGCCCCACAGCTACGGTCCCACTGTGTTCGTAGGGTAGAAGGTGGTCAGTTAGTTATTTCAGTTGTTATTTATTTCAGTCTTATTTTGTTCTATTTGTTATGTAAATACTAAGGGCAGATCTGTCCTTTCCATGTAATGAGCATAACCTATAAATACTAAATAAAGTGGCGACGGCAGAATATTAAGCTTCTGTTCCTCCTTTCAACTCTTGTGTTCTACTGCTTTCTCTTCTCTCTTTCTCCTCTCTTCTCTATACTTTTTCTTCTATTTTCGAACTTGAAATCCATTAGGGTTCAAGACTGATAGCAGTCCCGAACGTCTACTTGGTATCAGAGCTAGGGTTTCTCATGTGAGTCTAGTCCAGCCGACCACATGAGAACCATCTAAGGCTGGAAGCTGAGAAAGTAGAGTTCGTTGAYTGATTCTTGGAGATCGCCAGAGGGTTTAACAGCTTTTTGAAGATTTGCCACAGTTGTAGAGTGTTGGTGATCAGGAAGAATCAGAGAAGGCTAGGGTTCGGGTAACCTTGGAAGGCAGCGAACAGCATTCTCTTGTAAGTTTTTTATTTTCTGAGAGAAGTACTATCAGAGAAGATAGGTTGGACCTATCTAGAAAGGGCGGCCGAACCGCTCTAGGGTTTTCTTCCTTCTATTCTCTAGGGTTTTGTTTTAACCTTGTGGCAAACCCTAATACTGGGCTGAACCTTGTGATCTACCTATGAAACTTTTCTTAAGTTCTCTCCTCAACATTGATCAGTTTTAGGGTTTCATATTAACCCTACTACAAGTCTTATCCATACGGTACTGTCTAGAATGTGCGGCTGAGAATTTGCTTTTAAGGACTGTTAAAACCCTAATTCTGCTTCAGCATATCAGATTATTCTCCAAGCTGTTTTCAGATTTTTTTGGGGGGGCTTCGAACTCTTCTAAGGGGTGAAAATTATACGGACTGTTGCTGTTGTGTTTGCTAATTGGTTTCAAATCAGACTTAGACCTGTTTCATGCACATCTACCGTGAATACAGATTGGTTCTATACCGATTTTGTGATTGTGGTTGATAGTCCAAGTGCTGTTTTGACTGTAGTAACCCTAATTTTGAGACTACTGGTTTTTGACCGAAATGGAGTTTAAGAATCAGGCAGAAGGCAGTTTTGGGAACAGCAGTTATGGTGGTGTTTCTGAGACAGGTTTTCAAATTACAACCATAAGATTTGATGGATCAAACTATTTGGAATGGGCCCAATCAGCCATGATGGCTATTGGGGGAAGGGGTAAAGTAGGGTATCTCTTGGGAGATGTGAAAGAACCCTCCAAGGGAGACCCCATGTATACCAAGTGGGTCCAAGAAAACTACTTGGATATGACATGGCTGTGTAATTCTATGCAGCCTCATATCAACTGAAATTACTTGTGGGCAAAGACAACCAAGGAGATATGGAATATTATGAAAGAAACTTACTCCCAACCCCTTAATGTTGCCAAAGCATATGAATTGAAATGTGAAGTGAATACCCTTAAACAAAGAGAGAAACCGGTTTCGGTCTATTTCTCTACCTTGAAGTCCCTATGGCATAAGATTGATCACTTAGAGACTCTTGAGTGGGAGAGTCCCAAAGATGCACAGACCCATAAAAAGCACATCGAGACAAACAGGGTGTTTGAGTTTTTGGCAGGCCTGAATTCAGAGTATGATATTGTGCGGCAACAAATTTTGACCAGAGATAGTGTGACCCTCTCTCAGGCATACTCCTTAGTGCATAGTGAAGAGACYAGGAGGAAAGTCATGATGCAACCTCAGCCTCTTACACCGGCCTTTGTAGCTGTTAAACCCAAATCAGGGGGTGATTCAGAGAGGGACAGGAAGAAGGAAGATAAAAGGGATGTGGTATGTGAGCATTGTAAGAAACCTAAACACACAAAAGAAACATGTTGGAAGCTGCATCCTCATTTGGTCTGGCACAACATCCTCATTTGGTCTGATTCAACATTCTCGTCTGGCACAAGAGGCACACCCTTAGAGACCTTAGCTGCAGTTCGGGCTGTTCTAATACAGTTGGAAAAGGAACTTGGCAACTCAGCTCAATCACCGCAGTCACCATTAGCTCCTACCACATCTGCTTTCGCACATTTAGGTACTTGAGCCTCAGCCTACCATGCCTCAGCTCAAGTGCATCCGACCATATGAATAGCTTGCCTTCATTGTTTACCACTTATCATTTATTTTCTGGTAAGGATAAAGTATCTATTGCTGATGGCTCTCTTGTCCCCATTTCTAGCAAAGGTGACATCAAACTGTCGGATACTATCTCCTTGTCTTCTGTCTTGCATGTTCCTAAACTTGATACTAACATTCTTTCAGTTAGTAGTATTACCAAACATATGAACTGCTCAGTAACTTTCTTCCCTGACCGATGTGTTTTTCAGGACCTGGAGACGAAGAAGGTGTTGGGACTGGCCGTGAGACGAATGGGATCTATCTGCTCGGGGAGAGTTCTCGTCGGCAAGAGTCAGTGGATAAGAAGTCACTTGTTTCTCAGATTGTGAGTCCAGTTATGCTAAAGCATAACCGATTAGGTCATTTGTCTTTTCGGTCCTTAAAGAGTCTGTTCCCTACTTTGTTTGAGTCTGTTGAGTTGTCCCAATTGAAATGTGAAAGTTGTGAGTTTGCTAAACATTGTAGAAACTCTTATTCATTGAGTAATAAAAG